AAAAAATATGTTCCCATAAGTCTTTAGAAATTAGCATTTAAGTGCCTTATATATAAAAAAATATACAAAAATTCAGAAAAATTGCAGTTCTTGAATCACCAGTACAGAACCGAGAACTGTTTCTTTTGGACACGTTCGATACGGAGAACCGATGAGCTGGAGATACTGCGCATGCGGGATAGCACCGTATCTGAACCGAACTTTCTTTCGGCCGACTGATCCTGTGCTGATCTTTTTGCAGTCTATGGTGCTGATACATGAGCACGCAGTACAGGTGAACCCAGGACTTAAATGAGAGGGTGAATTCGGCGAAATGTAAGATTATTTAATAACAAATCAAATGATGAAGACCATTTAATGCATTTTATATATTTAAAATATGTAAAACATCCGCGTTAGCACATCATCTAGGCTGCAGCAGGGTTCGCAAAATGTAAATGTAAACTTATCCAAGATGATTATGACGATGAGTACTATTATTTAACTGAAGTTATGATTACAAATGCCTTTAATTCAAAGTACTTTTAACCGCCGGGAGGATAGAATTGACATCATTACGTGATGACGTAAAAGAACTGGTGAACCGTTTTTTTGAACCGGTTCATTAAAACGAACTGTCCGAAAGAATCGGTTCGCGGAAAAGAACCGGACTTCCCATCACTAGTCTGCATATCGTCTGCGTTTGGGTTCGCTCTTCAACCACATGACAGATATATTTACAAAATGAACAGAAATGCAAAAGTGAAAAATGTATTGTTATTTATTGTTTCTCAAAACATTACATTTTGATTTCTAAGTGAACAAATTATAGCCTAAGTGTTTTCAAATTATTATTGGGTGTAGGCCTATATATAATAGGTAAATGAAAGTGTGGCATTTAAATGGCTGATTTTCAAAAGAGCTGTTAGATTTGAACAACTGTGTTTAGTGTTTTGCAAAAAGTTTGTTTTACAATTGCAAAACGAGTGTAAAGCAGATAATGTTCTTGCACAGGGGTTCTCAAAGTTTTGATAGGTGAGGGCCAATTTAGGAACCCAACATTGAACCGAGGGCCGCCAAAGTGGCGGGGGAGAAAACGAAGAAAAAAAAACTGAAAAGAAAATCCCATTTGAAATTATTTTAATGACCAGGTTGCATCTCTACAGTTTACATTAGTTGCAATAAACACATTTTAATTCATAACTGAGGCTAAACCTGGCAAAACGTGTGAAAATTTTGGGGGGGAGAGAAAGAAACTTTTAAAATAGAAGCTTACCAAACAAGTCATCATCATCATTCATTTCTATCATTGCTTGTCAGTCGCGTTTCCATTATTGCAGATTTGAATATTGAATCTTTTTTAACCCGTAACTGAAAAACGAAAAATGAACGGTTGTTGTCTTTTTAAAACGCAAAGTTGTAAAATTTAAATTTTAAATTTCAAATTAAAATTTTAATTTGAACTGGCTTAACCAACTGCTGCGCAAAAAAAGTAAATATCGACAGACTTTTTCAGATTTTTTGTTTAAATGACTTTTTGCCCCTTTATTAAACATTTTAAATATTCACAAATTAATATGGAAAACATGTCCATTTTACTGGTTTTCTAAGGCCAAATTAGAACCTGGAATTTATATTTTTCCCACAGTGATGAATGAGAAGAGCCATATAGCCTGCCCTGTACGTGTCTGATCTAGCCTGATTTATAGGTGAGTTATAGGCTAATGATAATAAATGCGTCTGAAAAAACAGCGAGGCATTTTAATTGTTTATTAATAAACTATTGTTTTCTAAGGCCCCGTCCACACTACTGCGTTTTCGTTTAAAAACGGAGACCTTTTGCTACGTTTGCACCTCCCGTCCACACTAAAACGGCAAAAACGGTCATCAGTCATGGCGTATATCTTTGCTAGCAGCTGTTGTACAAGTAAATTCTGCATTTTACAACGCTATAACTGCCTACATGCGCCGGAGTCAAGCTATTATTCCAGCGATCTGTGATGATTCCCGTGTGCAGCGGCGGCATTGACCGTACATGGAGCGTCGGTTTGGGGTTAACCCAGAGCATGGTGGGATAATTTTATCAATGAAGTTGTGTTTACACCGGCACGCGCATGCCCAGTGTTGGTGAATGGTCACGTGATCCGCGTTTTCAGTCGTTTTAAAGGATAATTCCGGTATTTAACACTTTAAGTCTATTTTTTAGTTTGTTTTGGAGGAACTAGAGTGGTGGACTTAGAAATTTTGACGATGGGTCCTGTCTCGACTTTTTTAATATTTTAGAATCGCCTCTGAGCGCTTCAGAGTGGATGTCTATGGGCATGCTCAAACATGTCCTTAAAACAACCCTTAACGTTCGTTTTCAAAACTGTGCAACTCACCGAGTGGTTAGTGGTATTCGTTGATGATTAAAAACAAATATATCGGCGCAATGTATGCTTTCAATCCGTGTTATTTGCTATATTGGAACTATTTTTTCAGATACCTCACAACCGCGTATAAACTTCCGCTCGATATTTGAGTCTGAAGCATTAGCACACCCCCGACCACTTGATGGCGACAACCACTTTGCCGCAGTTGCTCAGCTCACGCTAGCCTTCTGAGAGACGGAGAACCGAGCGAAAAGACTACAACCAAATGTAAACAGACCCCTTTCCGTTTCCGGTAGCGCAGTAATATCAACGAGCACTGAGTCCTCCAGCAGACATCAATGCGATTTAAAAAAATGGCAAATAAAACACGACAGAAACTGTATTTCGCTACGCTACTTGTTTTGGAACATCAACGAACACCACTAACCACTCGGTGAGTTGCAGTTTTGAAAACGAACGTTAAGGGTTGTTTTAAGGACATGTTTGTGCATGCCCATAGACATCCACTCTGAAGCGCTCAGAGGCGATTCTAAAATATTAAAAAAGTCGAGACAGGACCCATCGTCAAAATTTCTAAGTCCACCACTCTAGTTCCTCCAAAACAAACTAGAAAATAGACTCAAAGTGTTAAATACCGGAATTATCCTTTAATGTGGACGGAGATCAATTCTAATACGCAGCTAAAACGCTGGTGTGGACGGAGATCGTATTCGTTTTAATTCTTCGTTTCTAAACTAAAACGCAGTAGTGTGGATGGGGCCTAAGTGTCGGCTAAAAACATATCTCCATCTCCGCTGTTAAGCAGATGCGCTTTTAGAGAGAAATCCACCTTTCATACGGATTACATAATCAGGTATTTGCTTTCGTTTCGAGTTTGTTTGTTTAAAAGTGCACATTTTAAGCTTTAGCCTACATATGGCTATATTTTGTTTCAGTTCTCGCGCTCCAGTTCACGGAGATCTTGAAAGCGCGTAGTAGCCTAAGCTACTGATTGTTTTATTTTATTTTACAAAAGCACGTTTTCTTGTTATGAGTTTACACAAATAAAAGTAGTTGCGAATAATGCATTATTATTTTCTGTATGACCAGAAATGATAGACTAGTTTAAGTTGTTTCCACTGTTGATAGGAAAATGCAAGTGTTCGCGCCCGCGAACATTTTGAAAGGTAATAGAAACGCGGCTATTAATAAGCTTGACATTGTTAAGATTATTATTAAGTCATATTGAATATTGATTACTTGGTCAACATACCCTTTTAAATTGCAATGGGATTTGTGGTGCTGGTTTCGGTTGGCCACGATTCCTATTCCTGTGTAGACAACCACTGTTCCTGGTGGCCTTGGGTGTGAGGTCAAGTGCGATCGGTCGGTCGGACCATGTAATTACCGCTTATGCCTATGGATGCCGCTAAACACCACTAAACGGAGATATTCATTTTTTCAAAGCAATAGTTTTAACAGTTTTACAGATGTTATCGCGGGCCGCCAGAAATGTTTCGGCGGGCCGCCATTGGCCCGCGGGCCGCACTTTGAGAACCTATGTTCTTGCAGTTACACAGACTTGTTCTGAAGATTAGGTATATGACTGAATGGTTGGGCGTCAAGTAGCCTACCACTTTTAGTGTGTAAGCATAAAAAAACTGTAAATCATAGACATGACACATTTTTACAGAACTAGGAGAGTAAGAAATCGTAACCTACGTTTACCTTAACACGGAAGGTCGTGTTCTTGGGAATTTTGATTTGAATGGACACCAAAAAATTCGAAACTCTAGACTCCTTTATTACGCCATTATCAATACTCGTTGTGACTCCATGTGAACAAGTTTTGCGCCAATGGTAGCCTAATTCGATTCAAAGGAATCCTTTGCATCAAAGGAAAAGTATCACGTCATCCTTTCATTTTGAAAATGAAAACATAAAATGTAAAAAAACATTTAACCAAAAGTTTACATCCCAACGGACAAGTTACATGTAAATGCTTCAAAACGTAAAATGTAATTTTTTTTAAAAACATTTCCCAAAAAACATTTCCCGTTGCATTGAGACAACAGGAGGTGCGGACCACTTTTGTAGACTATATGAATTTGTAATTATTCCACGTTTTTACACAAGTTACTTTATTTGAATAAATATTACTTAAAGCATTATGAAACACTGTCTAGAGTATTATTCCAGTTTGCCATTTTATATAAACAAAGCTTATTCCTTAATAGCCCGTTTTTTATCTAAAATACATTAATTTTAGGATCCGTCCCTATTTGTTAGTATGATATATTAAGCACTTTATCAATATGAAAGAGGAAATCAAAACTTTGTGGTTTTGGAGGTGATGTAAACAATAATGGTGGTGCCCCGATTAACTATACAAAGTCTAAAAGATAAAATAAATAAAAATGTACGTTTAAATGCAAATGCACAATAAATACAATGGACATATAAACTATTTGATCTAGATAAGTCGAATACTTTTTCCTTACAACTTAGACTGAAGGGACTTTACGCCATATTCAGTAACAAAAAATAAAATATATATTTGTAACAACACTGTTTAAAATGATGCATAAGATTATTCAAGTACCTAGAAGTAAACCATACAAAAACTATAACTAATACAATTAATTTCTACTAGCAAAACACAATATGAATACAATTCTATATGGATTTTCTAAATGAAAATGCAAAATGTTTCAAAAAGTCAACATGGCCATATTTAAAACATTGCTTCTTTCAAAACGTACACAATTCAGAGGCTTGTAAGATTCAGCAGGCTTAAGTCTCTGACAATCTTATCCACAATTCTGTTAAATATTCATGTCTGGTTGTTGTAAATTCTTCATAAAGATATTGGTGGACTTTAATCACATTCAAACTCATTCATATTGGATCCGAGTATCTCTCCTCTGATGTTGGAAGAAAATGTAGCTCCATCTGCAAGCAGTTCCATAGGTGGACAGACTAAAGATGAGATTTACTGACTTTACCAGAAATTGAAATGAGTTTCTCCTCATGAGCGGAGTCTGCAAAATCAGAAAACAAATTTCAAGTTTTATTTTAAAGAGAAATTAAACTAGTAAAAAATAATCACTCAGGCTTTGAAAATTCTTCCGTCGTGCGACTTTGTGGTTTCATCTGGTCTGCAAATGTTGTGTTCAGAAACTGATGTTTGAGCCACGTTGCACGATCGTCCTCGAAAGACTTCCTCTGAAAGAAGAGAACAATGTGGTAAAATCAAGATGAATTAAGAACTGAATTCAGAAGTCCATAAAAACCGGACACAGGTCAGAACCTCATGGCCCAATCTGATGGCAGCCTCCGTGAAATTTCTCCTTTCCATTTCAAAGTTTTTCCTCTGTTCTTCAAACACTCTCCACTCTTCTTTCAAGCGTTCCTTCTCTTCCAGCATGTAGGAATCGTTCAGAACAGCTGCAGTCTCCTCATCACAGGGTGTGTTGAGCTGTTGCTGTAAAAAACAAAAAAACAAAAGCTGGTCTAGGAAAGCAGCTGTGTTTACTTGTAATTTTAAGCATTAATAGCTATATTTAAATAGACATCTTAATGAATCTGAACGCTAAATAAAGTGATCGGGTTGATGGGCGTGTTTATATGTCACAAGCTTCAAATCGGAAGGGATTTTTTGACTGAGCCTCTACTTACTTGCAGAAGATGTTGTTGAGTCTGAATAAACTCTTTGCACTGCTGAATTTCTTGTTTGAGCCTCTCTATCTCCTCTTCATGGAGTTGTTTGGCGATCATCTCTTCGCTGTCTCCAGCTTGCACCATTGATGTTGCATAAATAAATATAATAAGCATCTGTATATTTATTTTACAATAGCTTTGTGTGTCTAAGTCGTGTGTATTGACTGATAAAGCCACAAAAGAAATAAATCAGAAAAGGCGGTGATGAACAAAAAGGTTAGGGTGTGTTTCGCACTTGGAGTTCAGTTCTCTTGGTTCTTTTGGTCCGGATCAAAACATTTGAGGCTATATTGTAACTATAATGAAAATGATAAAGATATATAGTAGTTCTAAAAAATCATTCTAAACATACAGTAAAAGAATAGTAGAGTCCACACTTCAATATCGTTCAATTCGATATTGTTGGAATCATTTTCAGAACGATAAAAACATTCTTTTTTTATGAGCTTGAGCATTTAAAGTGGCAGAGTTTGTAGTTATCGTTTTTGGTGTGAACGGCCCTTTAGACCTGGTTTGCTTAGCGTTCACACTGTCATTTTTACTACTAAACATGTAACAAAACAGCTTTCATGATGTATAATTTGTGATGGACTTTACAGAACATCCAAAACAATGCTGTGTGCTGGACTAAATGCGCTTGTTGTATGTGCGCACAAATGATGGTACTTTTACCAGCCGAGAGCTCATGAAGAGTTTATAAAAGGTGTAAAGGAGTCAAAACAGTGGCAGAAATTCCTCCCTTGCACACAAATGAAGATCTGCTGCAAGGAGACATAGTTTCTGACGCCTGTATCGAATGTAATGGGCAACGTAGCACTAGGGTTCAGTTGGCAATGTTCATGCTTATTCAAATGAACTGCACTAGGAGAGCAATCGCACCAGAGTTCGTTTTAATCGAACCAAAACCTGCCAAGTGTAAACACACCCTTAATTCTAATCCTCTACCTTGGCTGTCCAGTCTCTCAACATGATGTTTGAGTTTCCTCCACTGCTGACGAATGCTGTTGGTCAGTTTCTCCCGAGCGTGATCACAGGACATCTCAGGATGTCCTTTCAAAGGTTCCTCGTCATCTGAATTTGTCTGCAGAGTCAACTGAAATATGACCAAAATGATTCTTCTTTTTTTTGTTGTTGGTTAAAAATTTCAATAGCTTAAAAATATGGTGAAGGAAATGGTGTAGCGCCAAATGTATATGGACAGTCTAATGTCACAAAACTTACTGGGTGCATAAATCAAAAAGTAGAAAAAAGGATCTGTACACAACGAATAGGCCAGAGGCTCTCCAACTGTTCGTTTATTATACTTCAACAGAGGCAACAAAAAGACGTGGAAAAAAGGTGCTATAAAGTGCAAAACGTTTGAGAGATCAACTCTTCATCTTAAAAATAAAAATAACACTTATAGACCAAGCACATAAAACATAGAAGTCTTCAGTGTAAAATGGTTGTTATGGACATGACAGTCAAACCTGATCCATATTATTGCTTTGTTTCTCTTCCTTTTGGCATGTCTTCTTTGAATTTAAAACCACCACCATTTCTCGTTTCATTTGTTGAAGCACTTTCTTCAGCTCTATGTTCTCCATCATTAGCTCCCTCTGACGGTTATCAAATTCATTGAGAAGAGTTTTGTACATCTCTCCCTCATGTCTGAAAAAAAAAAAAAAAAAAAAGAATGTTTTTTATATGACATTATACTGAAGGGGAACAATTAAAACTGCAACAACAACAAAAAACAAATGATTATGTATTTTACCTGGATTCAGTTTTTCCAGTTTTCCAAAGACATCTCCTCCCGTCCGACCTTCCAACATAATTCAAAACTTCCATTCCTGACAAAGTAAACTCGTACAGTAATTGTAATAATATTTCAAAATATTTTTGATAGAATAAATGCAGCCTTGGTGACGCAGCCTTCCTAATATTGTATCTATTATTAAAAATATACACTATATATACAGTAATATTATTGGTTGATATATAAGTAATACATAATACCTTGTTTATTTTCCTTTTTGACAATGAGTAGTTGATTGAGGCGCTCCTTTACTCTGTTGTGCTCCCTTTCTCTTCTTTTGATGTCATGGTTGTATTGTGTGGCACGGCTTGCAATGATACCCTGTAGCCTTTGCACCTATTAAAGTAAAGACCACATCTGATTTGACAGAAGACTGAGGATCACCACCACTGTAGAACCAAAAAAAATAAAAACAGTACATGATGTCCAACTTCGCAGCTTTCTCATTCAATTTTCATACCTCTTCTTTTGCATCTTTTAGGCAATTTTGCAAAGTCTTTATATTTGTTTCCAGCTGACGCTCTCTCTCGTGCAAGCGCATGTTTTCCTTTTTCGAAAGATCAAGCTGGTCCTACGAAACAGTTAAATTATTTTTAGTTTTACTGGAAAAACTATGGAAGCTTGTTTCCGCTGAATAAAAAGTAAAAAAGGTAATTGCGACTTATCTCGCAATTCTTGCATGATACAAACTTGCAATTCTGACTTTTTTCTCAGAATTTTAACTCGCAATTGCGAGTTTGTATCACACAATTCTGAGAAAAAAAGTCAGAATTGCAAATTTGTATTTCACAATTCTGATTTTATAACTCGCGATTGCACGTATATATCACAATTCTGAGAAAAAAAGTCCGAATTGTACATTTTTATCCCAATTGTGAGGGAAAAAAAAGTCAGAATTGTACATTTTTATCACAATTGTGAGGAAAAAAAAGTCAGAATTGTACATTTTATCACAATTCTGAGAAAAAAAGTCAGAATTGTACATTTTTATCACAATTCTGAGAAAAAAAAAGTCAGAATTGCACATTTACCGGTATATCACAATTCTGAGGAAAAAGTCTGAATTTCGAAATATAAACTCGCAATTGCGAGCAAAAAAGTCAGAATTGAGATCATTTGTTATTCTGACTTTTTTTCCCTCACAATTATGACTTTTCTTGCAATTGCGAGTTTATAGAAAGAGAAAAGAAGTCACAATTTTTTTCTATCACAATTGAGAGTTATAAATTATGGGATATAAACTCGCAGTTGCGAGAAATTAAGCTTTTAAATCAATTCATATATCTCACAATTCAGACTTTTTTCTTGCAATTGCGAGTTTATAGAAAGAAAAGAAGTCAGAATTGTGAGATTTAAATTCGCAGTTGGAGAAAAAAAGCTTAATTTCTCGCCACTGCGAGTTTATATCCTATAATTTATAACTCGCAATTAAAATACAAAAAAAATGTGAGATAAAAAGTTGCAATTATCTTTTACATTTTTTTTTTTATTCCATGGCAAATACAAGCTTTCATAAAAACAATTATTAATTTGTTTGTATGTAGTAACAAAGTCAAACCTTTAGTCTGGAGTTGGTGAGGTGTTGGTAGTGGAGGTCGCTGCTGGACTTGAGCTGCTCCACCTCCAGATCCTCCATCATTCCAACAGCTCGACGGTGTAGCTGAAGCAAGTCATGTATGTTGTTTAGGGCAACCACAGCATCCAGATCACGAATGCCGTCTGAGTTACGGAAAATTGGCGGAAAGCACAGGGAGGACAACTCCTGTGAATGTAAAGAGTGGCAAATGTAATCATGCCATTGCCACAAGAGTCCATTTATAATACGAGATTCAAGTTTGTTCTTGTCTAGATTCTTCTTCTTCGAACATACAGTACAAGACAAGCTGCAGACAAATATAAGAGCACCTACCTGATTGATGTACAGAATGCACTCAGAGATATTCTCTTCCGTGCAGAAGTTGCTTGAGACACTGAAAGAACTTAAAGGCAGAGGAGGCATCACAGATGCTGTGTAGAGTCTTGAAGGAGACATTCTAGTCAATAACGCGTATAAGTTCTGGAAAAGAACAAGAAACGTACACATACATAAAATAATCCACAATCAAAAAAACGCACTAATAAGTGTAAAGATTTCTCTGAAGATTACTTGTACATGCTGTTAAGGTTACAACAAGTGAATGTGGATACTGCTCTAAATGAGGTTAGGAGGGGAACCTGTCCTTAAAATAACTTTCCACAGTATTTTGAGTCGCCTAATCTTTCCCTTTTCCCACAAGACTTTGGTTATCTGGAGCACGGATGTGAAATCTGTTACTAATATCAACTATGTTCTAAGTAATGACTTAATATGCCAAATGCAATTGATTTAAAGGAATATTTTGCCATTGTCATTATTTACTTGCCTTGGTCATTCCAAAACTGGTATGATGTGCTGCATTCAAGCCATGTCATAATTACCATAAATAAAATTGAATTCGGACATTCCTTGATGCCTTCTTACCTTGCAATGCGTCCTCCGAAGGCAGCATTTTTAAGATTTTAATTACAAGTTCTACAAGCACATGAAGGTTTTTCGCAGGTCAGAATTACTTTGGTAATTACGGCATGGCGTGAACGCATCTCTGTTACCACATTTGCCAAGCTCAAAAATGGAGAAAAAACTAAATGAAAACACTGGATATAAACTATGACTCGTGCACCATATCCAAAGTCTGAATTATGAAGCGATAGATTTTTCTAAAGAACAGACTGAAATTTAGGTTAAGAATTAAAAACTTTCCCATCCACCAAAGTTCTCAAGGACATTACTGTATGGTATAGTCAGAAGTCAGGTTAAGGTCATAACATAGGGTATGTTTCCACGACAACTGAAAACCTTAAATGCGTTTTGGCCGTTCATTTTGATGACAACAGTGTTTCGGGGGCCCGAAAACGCAAACTTTTGAAAACAGGTTTCAAAGTGCAAGGTTTTGAAAATGATGCCTTCACCATCTCCATCCATGTAAACAACAAAAACGTGAATTTTTGAAAACGGTGACGTCGTGTGCATGCGTATTACATGTTCACTTACTGAATGCATATTACGTGTTCACGGAGTGTTTCTTGACAAAGTGACATCGCCAACTACAGGCCTGTCAGCATAATACAGCCTTTTTAGTTATTTTTGCAGATTAGTGTGAACGGGAACGTTTTGACAATGTTGTTGTCTGTTTTTAGTACATAGTTGACGTGTAAACATAGTTACAAAGAATGTGAGAACCAATAAAGGTGATATCCAATGTAAGGTGATCGTGATCCATTGAAAAGCATCATATTAAAGCTACTTAAAATTCAGTCTTTTCCTCAGACATATCATATGGTATTTGGAATATAGCGCACGAGCTTTATGGAGTTTTTTAAAGAGCTCCACAGACATGGTTACTATGAACTGTTGTGGAAAAGAACTGAGTGAAGATTCTCTAAAATGCTCCATATAAAAGTCTAGAACAATTTGAGTATAAATAATAAAATTGTCATGTTTAAGCAAATTATAACTTTATATGACCAAACAACGACTTTTTCCATCTATAAGATTCCACCTCATTTTCAGTGACTTTTCTAGTCCTCATTTTAAAGAAATTGAACTCATAAAGAGCATTTATAACCAATTATATATAGTGATTAAAAATCACTATAGCAATTTCCAATATCAAATGTAACATTTTACTCTTCCATGCATGGAAAACACAAAATTGCTATAAAGCTAGGCTATGTAAATATTATATATATATATATATATATATATATATATATATATATATATATATATATATATATATATATATATATATATATATGGACACAGCAATCCATGAGAAGCTCAGTATTACTGGATATAGGCAACACACCTAAATTATCAGGTCTAAAGTAGGTTAAGGTGAGAAGAAGGATTTCTACATTAGGAGGACGCTGAATTTACTCAAAATTACATGATGATAATGAGACATAAAAGCGATATTTACATCTTTACTATAGGAATAACATACAGATGGTTAACAAACGAGGACTTACCGCGTATCTGTTGGGATTCAAGAGCACTTGGTTGTTGTGAGGCTTGTCAGCTTCTTTTCACGACATTTGCACAGACTGATACATTTTCCCGGGAAGTTTGCGTAATAAACCGTCTTATTGTGGCACGTAGTTACATTGATGCAGGCGCGTTCTGCACAGGCTCAACCTTGAACGAAAACAGTCACAAGCAAACGCGTTGCCATGCAACGAATACGAGGGCGTGTCATTGGCTGTAACTCATGCACCCCCGCGGAATACAGACCAATAGACTTCGTCGCAGTCAATGCAGGTGCTAAAAACATAAATAGGCTAGTTATAGTAACAATCTACCAAAATGCAATACTAAATATAAGGACATTTACATCAGAAAAGCAACATTTTTGTCTGCCCATTTTATTTCAGCATAACTTTCAAATTCAACTATGTACTGATGAAGATAAAATAAGCACCAACATTTTTAATGAAAGGTTTCTACAAATACATTTGCCCTTCCTATGACAAATGCAATTTGTTAAATATTACAGACAAAACATATTTTACAACATTTTAGTCAAATATACAATGAAAGCAGCAACATTTTAGCAAAGCAGCAATCAAATACTTTGCACATACACCTACAGTAGGCCTAATTATAAACTTCACTGAAATCCTTTAGCATATTTGCTAAACAATTTTATTTGTTAAAGTTTCTGTCATGACTGTGCTTATACTGCAGCACATAAGTTAATTGCTAACAGGAATGGGAAGACCCAAAGGTTCGTCTTCCCGGGACAAAGGGTCTATTTTGGCCTCCAGCCACCAAGTTGTCATTTTGCCTTTGCCCTGTTTAACAAAAAGTCGCAATCAGTAAATCTCCTAAACACAATGCCCTGAAGGAGGACAGCATCATACAAAAGAAAGGACGAGGGGATTGAGCGCGACTGAGTAGAGGTGTGTATTTGCTTGTACATAATGAACACACAAGTGAAACCACAAAAGCCAGCTGAGGTTGAGTCCTAATTGAGAGGCACAGCTGAGCTGAGATCAGAGTTCAGCCTCTGGGGACCATATACCATCATTTCAGGAAGAAAAACATCAATAGAAGATTGATTTGGTAGAAGGATCTACCAGAGCTGCGTTTCCTGAAAGCATCATTAGCCAACTATAGTCATAAGTTTCGTTGAATTGCGTTGGTAACAACGGAACAAGACAATAATAGACAATTAATAGACAATAATATAATAAAATAAATATTTTAAAAAATAAATAAGGATGAGCTCACAAATCATTTTGACAAAAATATTTCTTACTTCATAACTGTCGTTGAATTACTTATTTTTTAAAAACATTATTTAGGCTAAGCTATGTTGACCTATTTTTAGCCGATAATACAGTGTTTATTTTTTCCACAACATGTATCAGCACATTAATCATCTTGTCAAGCTAATGCTATGGAGCACCTAAAGGGATATGAAAAATTCGGTGGGAGAAAAAAAAAATAATGTTTTTGCTTGCTCATAAAAATGTAGCTTTTTCTCACAAATTTGTTGTGTTCCACGGAGAAACATTGTAATCCTTCACAAATATTTTGCATTCTCTTGCAAATGTAAAAGAAAATTTGCATTCACTCACAAAACGTTTGTGTTCTCTCACAGAAGTATTGCGTTCCACCGAGAAACTTTTGCGTTCTCTCACAAATGTATTGTACAATGTGAATCTTACAAAAATGTATGATTGTTCGAAAAAAAGTAGGCCTATACGCATGAAGAACACATAAACATACGTAAGCAAATCGTACGAAAACATATGAAAGATTGTACGAATTCGTACAAATTAGCCACCAATTTGCCAAAATGTAAAATTGTTACAAACTGCCGAAATGTGTCATTTCATTACAAAAGTTTAATGATTGAACACAAAGTTTCTAGAGGAAAACAGAAGTTTTACGAAAGAATGCAAAATAAAAATGTTCCTCCCATCTCATTTTTTCATCACCAAATCACCGTACTTTAGGGGCTTCATAGTATGCAAAGTTTGCAAGTTAACCATGGCAACCTGGGTGAATGGACGAAATATTTTGCCACTAAATTTACAACAGGCAAAATGATAGCTCTGTGGGTGGCTTCTTTGCATACACAAACAAGTGCTCTGAACTGACCATCTTACCTTCACATTGAGAGACCCACGACACATCAGCACGTATCCGCCAAGTGTGTGTAGAAGGTCAGCTGAAGAGCCACTGCACTGGATCTTTAAAGCTATAAGCATCATAACAACAATACGAAATATAAAGGCACGTGGAATGGAAATGACAAGCCCAAAAATGTTGACAAGTTTTCAAAAAGTTTTATAATGATCCAAAACACTCTGGAGACTTTTGGTAATAATAGGCCTATCACAGTACTTAGATATAGCTTTAGCTTTTTTGATCTCCACAGAAGTTTAAGAAAGGGAAATATTTGGATCCAACCGTAACCAACATTCAGTTTTATCCCTTTATATCCAATAAAACAGTACTTAAAGACAAATATTTACAAGATTCCATTCGCCCGGAAGTGTCGGACAGGGTCAGTTACTAATTGACGCTGTGTAAACAGCTGCGTTTTTCCCAAATACCTTCACTGGTGGACTCCATACGGGACGCGGTGTTTACAGTGTCACCAAATAAGCAGTATCGTGGCATTTTGGTGCCAACCACCCCAGCTACAACAGGGCCTAAGATAACATAAAATACTGTGAATAAAGTTCATAAAATACTGTCTCGTCCAAAGGACAGAGTTTACAATATGTGTTTAAAATGGTAGCCAGCTTGACGCTAATTTCAAGGAAAGATGATTAATGGAAGGCATGCTGACCCGAGTGAATGCCAGCCCGTATCTTCAGCTGTGTGGTGGGCTTGTGTGGGATTTTAAACGCCTGACAGATGCTGATCAAGTCCAGCGCCATTCTCTTTCGGTACTCCTGAGACTACCATATCTGCAGAGGGGGGGGGGGTTTCATTGATTTTTGTGCAATTTGATGCGAACGTGTGACAAACAAAGGAAGCAGGATCTCTGTAATCGCACTCACAAGCATCTCCTATAGTTTCCACTTTGTAGACATCATAGTTGTCGTCGATGATGTCATCAAATGTTGTGTAAAGCTTGTTGAGAAAATCCACAACCTGGTGCGGAGTGCTGGAGCCTGAGAGTTGCGGGAAGCCCACTATGTCACTGCCCAAAAGAAACACAAAATAATTTATATTCATTAATATATCATAGAGTTCAAGAGTTTGGGATCAGATTTTTTTCTAAAGAACTTTGATTCAGAAGAATGCATTAAACTGTTCAAAAGTAGCAGGTACAAATGGCTATTTCAAATAAAAGCTGTTCTGACTGCATTTAAAAAAATACTAAAATAGAAAAGTTATGTTAAATTGGAATAACATTGCTGGATATTACTGTTTTTACTGTAAATGCAGCCTTGATGAGCATAGAATAAATTAAAATATCTTAACAAACCTAAACATTTGAACAGTAGTACAGTATATATAACCCAGAAATATACAGTGGCATTGGAGTAACTCTGGGCCTCTGCTGTGCATCCCTGACGAAGATCATCAGATACTGGTTTTGGTAACATGCCTGACACAAACATAATAATAATAATATATATATATAATTTATGTTAATAAATGCACATAAATTTTCAAGCTGGAAACAGTCACAGCACAAGTACTTTAAATGTCCAATAGGTGGAACCATTTGGACATTCATTCATTGAATTTTTTTTTTCTTGTCTGAAAAAATCAGCCATAAACACTTCCATACTGTAGAGTAAACGGTCTGTCTTCTGCTTCTCCTGAAGAAGATCCTGTGTTCTCTCGGCTACAATGGTTTCCAAATGTTTACTGTACTTTTCCATCTAGAAAATAAAAACAACAAAGGTGATTTAAATTTTTTTTTATTAAATAATTCTATTTCTGTTAATTGAAATAAAGCTGAAATAGAATAAAATAGAATAAAAACAACATTATAAAAATAATAATAATAAAAACTTAAACTAAATAAAAATTAGAAGTGTTGGCTTGGTAATAAACTGAAATAAGTACAAAATTATTAACTGTTAATAAATAAAAACAAAACCTATAATAAAAAGTAAAAATTAGACCTAAATACAAAAAAAAAAACATAATAAAATTACTAAACATCAAACTGAATAGAGAAAATATAAAAGTAAAAGCTTAATCGAAAAGTTAATAAAACTTATGTATATATATATTATATATATACATAGTTTTATTAACTTTTCGAATAAGCTTTTACTTGCACAGTACTGTGTGTGTGTGTGTGTGTGTGTGTGTGTGTGTGTGTGTGTGTGTGTGTGTGTGTGTGTGTGTGTGTGTGTGTGTGTGTGTGTGTGTGTGTGTGTGTGTGTGTGTGCGTTGGTGCGACCGGATTATGAGGACAAAAACCATGGATACATACCGACTCTATGAGGACATACCGTAACTACGAGGACAGCACTAGTGTCCTCATAAGTCGAGCAGTGTAGAAAGGCTTATCAGGCTGCGCCTAACCACCTCCCGCTTTTTCTCAATATGTCCTTATAAATCCGTTGTACCCGTTTTTCAGTGTGTGCCAGAGTATGCTCAGAGTGTATAATCTCCCTCTATGTGAAATTCGACGCTACTGCAGTATCATACACATTTCATACACCCAGACCACGCCCAAGCGCGATTCATTGGTGGAACGCTGGAATCCTCGTCAGTGATTGGCTGCTGAAATCCTCGTCAGTGATTGGCTGCATTTCACATCCGTCAAAGTCAGCGCGCCTGCGCCTCTGATCTTCTATCGCAGACGTGTGGTGTGACCGTGTGATTAATCAGAAGATTAATCATCATCATGAAAGATTAATTAGCAGAATTCGAGCGAAGTTGACGAGCTATAGTGGGAGATTTTCACTTTATCACGAGGAAGGTAAGTGCGTTTATTTATATATTCTACCTTTATGGAGTTAAGTGTCATGAGTCAGACAGTTTTTAATAACGTTAGTTACATTACTTTAAACGTGGCCACTAAACGTGCTAATATAAATCCATAAGCAGTTGGATACTACAGTATTAGTATTAGTTGATGAAAGATACATCTCCATGGATGCTTGAGAGAATTAATTTACATTTTGAAATAAATCAAATCTATGTTGTCATCGTGATGACTGGTAAAGTTGAGTGGATGAATTTACAGTTTAATACAGTAAGATACAGAAATATATTAAATAAACAGAAACGAGACTAATGTAAAAGTATACTTTCATTAATGTAACGTTACTGTCATTAGAATGACTTGCCAAAATTATCTGGTTGATTCATTTTAGGGATGGATATTAGCAGACATTTTATGATTCCATTCAATTTTAATTCACGTGCTTTCGATTCTATTTCCAATTCGATTTTACATTTATTATTTTAATGTAAATCAGGTGTAATACATGTAACATTTTCTAAAACTTTCTCTCTATAGTTAATTTTTCTAAGTAACGAGTTTAGCTTCATTTGATCTGAGGCGCCACATTAAAGAGTGATGAAATGGTATTAAAATGGACTGAATTTGAAATCGGAGACTGTTTCTTATCAAAAGTAACAAGCCTCAAAACCTCACTGATCAACTATTTCTGTGTAAAATGTTGTATTTATTGATATAGACTACAGTCTGACAATAATGTACTGTATATAAAGCATATCTATCTATCTATCTATCTATCTATCTATCTATCTGTCTATATATATATATATATATAGGCCTATATATTTATATATTTATAAATACATACTAATTATGTTGTCTGGAATGTTTTCAGTCAACATGTTAAGAAAGAAGAGAATAAAACCTGAGCAGGATGCAAAAGAACACATATTGTCGGGCAAAGACAAAGCCTTCATTGAGGGACGACAAATCAACACCACAAGGCAATTTGACTATGTTCAGACTGCAGGCAAATCAAATCATAAAGTAGGCATGCACTTGTAAGAATGAAAAGTAGGCCTATTGCTGGCAGTCTGGACATGATCTTTCACATTCACACATTTTACCCTTGGGTAAGCCGCTCATTTTCATAAAGGTTAAGAGATGAAAAAAAAAACTTTAAACAATTTTTTTATAATTATTATTTTAAAATAAATACATAAAACTATGTATACAGAGAATAGTGTAACCAAAATCAACTAGTAGGCTATATCACAGTGAAAGCCAATGCTTGATTATTTTTTTTATTTCCTGCACCTCATATTACATTACACAGTTTTACAGGATTTAACTCTTTAAAAGGATAGGTTGGTTAGCTGTGTAACATATAGGTGCACTTGGATTCATGTTTTATTTGTATTATTAGCCTATATATTATTTTGCCCTTTCAGGGAGAGGTGTGTTTGCACTTGAGCACATTGAACCATACACCTTTGTTGTTGAATACCGTGGGATTCTCTCTCAAAGTAAACATGTTAAAGATGTTCAAGGCAACTACTTGTTTGACTTCACATGGAATGGAACACGTTATTGGTAAGCTGGCTGTTTCTTTTTTGGTTTATTTATTTTTGGTTCATATTCAGAGCAAACTAGTTGCATGTCATTCTAATAAAAACAGTTATAATTATGATTTATTATTATTACTATTATTATTACAATATAGGGCTGCACGATTTGGGGAAAATGTCATTGTGATTATTGAGGTCAATATTGCAATTGGAATATGCGATTGCGATATAATAAACAAATGGTTTCATGAGTCAACTTGCTTGGTTCTAAAGCAAAATGCACACACAGATTAGTGATAATTCTGAAATGTGTATTTCTCAACTCAAACTAGCAACAACAACTAAATGATTGATAACATCTAAGCCATTGATGTCTGGATAAAAATTAATCCACCCCCATTTAAAACATTAATTATAGCCATCCAACATTACAGTGATTCCATCATTACAATTGAAAGCTATAATTTTTTTAAAAACATTTATTAGACGTCAAAAAATATAACAGCTTTTAATTTAAGTGAACTTCAAATAATCCTCACATAAACCCATTATAAATGACATGTCATATTTACCTGTGCCCTTCCTGTCTAACAGGTATGCAGAAATTTAATAAAGTTATCAAACAGTCTGCGACTCTGCGCTGCATAAAGAATAAATAGACTAATCCTTATTAAAGCTACATAAGTTCTTTAGTCAAGAGCAGTGAGTAATTTTCTCTGTCCCCTTTGTTCTGTGATTAACTTTACTGACAGAAAGCTTTGGCTGCTGGCCCTTTAAGAGCAGCCGCTGCTGACAGAGACACGGATCTCACACGCGCCTCATCCTCTCACAACTCTATACGTCCATCATAAGACTGCTCTTATGTTATGAAGATACTCGACAAACGACATTTTGGCATAATTGTGTGTGTTGTTGTTCGTTCAAGAGCGAAAGAGAACTGTATTCTGGCGCGTCTTTCTGTGAGTCACAGTCGGACATTCAGCGCGCTCTCTTTTGACTTGTCTCGCATGAATGGTTTTAAGCAATCGCATGAGAGCATTATCATGTAACACTAGCCAAAGGATGACAAATAATAACAGATGCTGCGTTAATTGCGTTAACAGCCCATTGTTTATTTTACATAAAATCGCAGCATTTTGCGCCATATAATCGCACAGGCTTGACATCGCGATTACGATTGCGATAAGATTAATCGTGCCGCACTATTACAATAGCAGATTTGCTAGGGTTCTCATAACATTAGGAACTTATTAGTTAGTGATAATCAATAACATGGTTATTGTTCAACTGGGGTATTATTTTTTTTACCTTAAGTGGATCATCTGACCTATTAAATTCTTAGGAAGTCAAGTTAACTTTCACAATGTGTATTTGAATATAGGTTAAATAGGCCAAGGTTAGCCTAACCCAAATGTTCAGTTAGAACCGTATGTTTCAGTGTGTGTCTATGTTTTAAGTTTCTTACTGCACTATTTTTATCACAGCATAGATGCAACAAAAGAGGACGGTGGAGGAATGATGATGACAAAAATCCAAATTGCAAAGTCAAGACAATCATTGTTGACGGAAGGCCACACCTGTGTCTGTTTAGTATAAGACATATCTTTCCAGATGAGGAGGTCACATACAACTATGGGGATTCCTCTTGGCCTTCGCGTTTAAGGGTGAGTCTCTTAAAGACTTTATCACTGAAAGTCAACCATGTTCTGTATTTCATGAATGTTAGTTTTTTATAT